ACAACAAACTATGAAAAGCTTGGAATTCGTTTTCATATAGTCCTCCTCTTCCTCTTCTTTCTTCTTTATTAACTTTTATACTAGCTTTATTTTTATGCAGCACAATCGTCATCCCTACGATCGACTATCTATTAACCTCGGCATTAATCATGTAATTATTTCTATTCTTGTTGAGCAAAACGAGGTGTTGATTTATTCCTTATTACGAAAAAGCTGACGTTTCAGCGGTTTTCGACTTACCAGAGCCTGGGATGGTCAAGTTAACCGTAATCTACCCGGCCAAACACCACCATAGCCAAACAGATAAAGTCCTAAACCACGATTTCAATCAAACTGAAAAGGAAGGAATGAACATTGAACACGTGAACCGCGAGGAGGAACGCCTCAAAAGCACGCGTGATATTTTACAGTATTTAAGCCTGTTATTTTAATGCGGGGCACACTTCGTTTCCATGTAAAGGCTGTGCTGCTGATTTCTACGTGATTTACTCAGTGGAAGGGGTAGTAGAAAGCGGTGGATGTGCTCAGAAGCTATTCTGTGTTCAGTGTCATTGAAATCTAGGTTTAGCATCTCTGTTTGGTTATGGAGGTGCTTGGCTGGGTAGATTGCGGTCAACTTGACCCTTCCAGGGGCTGAAGGAGGAGAAATCCGCCGAAACGTCAGCTTATCCCATAAATAAAGAAACAAAATAACACCACGTGTTTGTTCAACAAGAATATAGAGAATATCATTCCTAATATTCACTTACTTAAACACATTAGTTAGTATTCGTTGACGACATTACGTCTACTGATCCATTATTATTCAAGCTGAAACCCATGCCCTTCTGTGTAGACAGGCCCAAAGAGAAAGCAGCTTGGTCTATAGACCTAGTTTTCATCCGCTTGGTAGAACATATCCCAGCCCTTCATAAGATTACCTAGATGTTCCTCGGTTATCTATGGAACGCGCGTCTTCACAGTGCGTACGTGATGGAACCGTTCGACCTTCGCCTTCAGCAGTAAACATTTATATAGATTCAGCAGCTGATGGTCCTCTTAAAGAGTTCCTGAATCGCTCAGTGTTTAGGTGGTTCAGGAAATGTTACGCACAAATGAGATGCTCGGCAATGGGACAACCACTGGCACCAAGCTTTCGCATTGCCTTTATGTCTAATGTGGAGGTCCTTGTAATCGATCTCCGACCATCGGTCTACTCTAGATTCACAGAGGATTATTTGGTCATCTGCTCCACAAAGGAGGAGTTGGACAAATATTTTAATTTATTTAACAGACACTCAGATTGATCAATCCCTGAGGGATGAGCCATGCATTCGACTTTATTAAGTATCGTTGGAGGTGATTGAATGCATATCTGGCCTTTATAATGGCTCGCGGTGGCCTACCGATGTATCCAGCCAGTGCTGCTATCCTCCCAGATAGGCCCGGTACCAATTTGCCGACCTCGGAGTAATGGAAGCCTTGGTGGGCCATAGGCGTCGGTATCGACTCCACGTGTGTGTCGTAGTGGCGCCTCCAACCATTGCGCCACACGCGCTCTTATCAGAGAGATACGAGAAGAAAACTCGTTTCCATTTTTGAAGACTCAAATTAACTTATCCGAAAACGGCTACATCTCTAGGCGCTACAAAAAGAGAGCTAACGAAAATAAACTGGTTTACGACCTCTCCCTCATCCTTCTAGGGCGCTTATCAAGAACGTTTTGAACAGCTATCAATCCGTGCAAAGGAAGAGGGCAGATGGAATAATCCCCAAAATAGGCGACTCAAATAGCCATTTATGATGGCTAAACAGCGGTAGCTCCTCGGTATACGTTTAGTGCAAGATCCACACTCCTAAGCGATAAGTTTAGCGAGAATAAGGTTCCGTTTAACCTGCCTTTCATTTCCAAAAGAAGTAGGCACAGCCGTAAAAAGTTCCTTAAGACGGGCTGGTCTGGAGAATTCGGCAACAGTAATCGAAATACCACCGAGCATTCTCAGGACCCGGTCAATTGGTAACCGTTTGTACGACCGTCCGGACCAAACGCAAAATTGCATGCATTGCCCTAATGGCGGAGAGTGAGATTGTAATCTCTTGTAAAGCCTGCGAGGATGGATGCGTTGAGGAAAACAGCTAAACGGCAATCGTAATGTTAAGCAAAATGCTCCACTAGCCAAGCACAGGGCAGAGACGCATGACGAGGAAGACCTAAAAGTAGAAGTGACCATCTTCGCACAGAAGTGTAAAACTTCAACGTGCAAAACCCACGATGCATTCTGGATAAATTCCAAGAAACCAAAAATTAACAGCAGGGAGAAATGCCTCGTTATCACACGTGCTCTCACACGAAATTTGACATCGATATTTTAATGTGAGAGAGACACATTACCCATCCATGTGAACTCTGTGCGGTCGATCACCACGTGGAGAACTCAGTAGAAGGCAGAGGGAAAGCGTTGTTTGAAGAAGCCGTCTTCTTTTTAATGCGATCGAAATCTGAGTAACATGGTCTTTTTGTTGGGCTTATAGAGGCATTTGGCCGATTAGGTTGCAGTTAGTTTGACCTTCCCAGACCCGGGGAAGGTGAAACCGCAACTTTTGCGAATAAATTAATAATATCGTAACAAGCTCGTCTATCAGCAATTTAACGTTGGTATTCTTCTTGAATTATATTGTAACACTCCAAATATCAGTAAATTGAACAGCAAATTAAGAATGGATGTATCGAAGACGCCCATATTTTAGAGCGGATTGACCTACAACATCTGTAATGACCTGGTGATTTTGGCGTCAAACACCTGTCGATATTGGGCAGTATTTGGCCCATTTCGTCTTCTGTCATGACTGGATGTTCGCTTTGTTTCTAAACCCCATCTCTTCTTTCTCTCTTTTTTCGCTTCTTTTTTGATAGAGTATTAGAAATTTCATATACGTATAATCGCATGTAGTCTTCGGTAGCGCTATGAAATCCTCACCGTCAGAGATTCAATGTTTTATCTCTTAAGTTATCGTTCCTAAGCCTCTTCGGATAAGTCCAGCAATCACCTAGATTGGCCGACTTGGAATGTTTGCTACGTTTTTCCGATAACCAACACATCAGTTTGTCAGCCAAATTCCGTTGTTGAGGCTACAGCTTACCTCTCTGTTAATCTTCAAGCCCTAACCACCTAATGGATAACTTATTATCTGCGTGAAGTAAAACAAATAGTGAATTGCCTTCAGTTTCACCGAAATGCGTCATGCATGTCATGCATTCGACTCGAATCCTAACAGCACAGCAGTGATTGAATGCCAATCGACGTAGACATTGACTTGCTATGTAAAGTCGCTTTCGAGACAAATGTGGCATCGATTTGCCGACCACTTAAGGATAAGGGGCTTGGCTTGCGCTTAGTGCGTCATCCAACCATGGACCACGTGTGTACTGCAGGGCATCTCAAACCACTGGACTAGACTCGACCCTACGTTCAAATGTGAAGAAAAAATGGTAGCTGGTTAATCATGTTTTGACAACATTAAGCAAAAGCAGATGTAAGAAATGGAAGGGCAATCTTCGCTATCGCTGGCTCTATCGACGCCCAATATCTTTGCACTGAACCACGTTCATCGCCAATGTGCTAGGCTTTGTGCAAAAACTAGAATATTGAAAGTAGGAGTTTGCAACTCCAACCTACTTTGTTCTGTAGCGGTCTCGACGTTACAGTAGCCCTATTGGATACCTGTGCTGATCACCACATGTGATTTCCTACCTGAGATTCCTTGAAAATGAGGTGAACGCAACAAAAAAGGGTTTCCCGACATATGTAGGATATAAAGTGGAAGTTTTGTTCGGGGATGATGAGCATAAAGATTAGGAAGAACGGTGAATAAACCCGTTCTGATGAAAGTCAAAATGTCCTGTTAATACACTTTGATCCAACCATCTTCCGTCGAAAGTCGTTGGGGAATTCTGTTCCGATTCTGGGATTTTTTAGCCATTGTGGGTGCAGTTGAACTCTGAAGTGGTTTCTTTCGTGAGAATCCGTTTAATCAAGAATGTCCGATTGATTGCTCCATGCACAAACGAAGTTGGTAAAACTGCTGCTGCTTTTACCAAGACCTGTTTGGACGCCTATACGGTCTATGAAATGGACGAGAAGCAAAATACCACACGTCGACTACTACGCTACGTCAGCCCATCTCTATAATACATCTTCTATGATATCTTCTGTTAGTTCTAATAATCCAGGAAGGTATCTTCTACCAATGTTCGAAGTTAGTGGTTCCATGTGTAATGCTAGGAACTCTTTGAATTACACTAACTCTGCTCCACATTGTCAGTGATCTGTTACTAGGTATAATCGACCTTCTAATATGGATTTTATTTCTTCAAAAAAGATTTTTATCATTGAAAGAATTTAAGTAATAAGCATTTTGGCACTCGCCACTACTGTTTCTGTCATTAGCGCGTGCTAGTGATTGCAGAATCCCATAGTTCTTGGCCGGCATCACTTCCTACCTATCAGGTAAATAGCACAGAAACTTTCGAGTCTATAGCTTTTCAAGCTTTAGTTTTGAGTTTCTCCTGAGTTCTACTTCGTATGAAAGCTATTTCGATGGAAAATAAACGGTTCTGTTCCTTCATGACTCTTATCTTGCTATATTTATAGAGCATACTTAGAAATTTTACCGCATAAGATGCGTACTTACGCGAACAATTGATCAGTTGTGTGAAGTCGGCTCTTGCATCTCAAGATCCATGTACGCTGAGTGAAGACGAAGGAGAGTAACTACTTCGACAAAAAATAAAGGTGACCTCCATTTTCACGTACGTCGGCTTTAGGCTGTTAATCTCCGGAATCTAACGGAAAATTTACCTTGGTTAGTCAGTTTCAATTTGTCTTTCACTAAGTGTGTCACGTGTAGACCAACTGCACAGAGTTCACATGAAAGCGTGACGTGTCTCTTTATTGCTATTAGTAGTAGAAAAGTAAATATCTGCGTCCAGGACACCGAGATCGAAAAATTCGAAGAATTTTTTAGAAAACCCCAACGCACTCGTCGACTGTGGCCTCGTGGACACGCTTGTAGATGTTGCTGACATATTTAACAACGCTTGCTGCTACCTCCATCCTATATATTACTTTTATGTGTAAGTTAATGTTAAAATATTCCATTATTCTTTGTTTCTGCACTCAGTTGGTGAACGTTTCATCCTCGTAATCGAATCGTCCAACATGAAATGTTTGACATATCCTTCTGGACATTCAGGAAAGAGCAGTTCTATGTCCTCGATTACCACTTTTCTTAGAGGGTCCCAGTTAAAATGCAGCGAATATCACTTCGGTGAAGAAGAACAGCCAATTGCATGCAGTTTTACACCTGTGGAAAAATCAATTTGGGTAATTGTTTGGTTGTGAAGATTTCCTCATCCTCTAGTTCAGAGGTGGCTGTCTGGAAGTGTTCCCAAATCGTCGGCACACACAGTTGCTGAACCGTGTGGATCAAAGCGAGATTTTACAGTTGCTACGAGAATGCCGATAATTTCTCTCTTTGGTTTATTGTATATCAAGGCATGCTGGTGAAATCATCAGGCTTCCGGGCATAGGAGCTTCTGCTGAGGAATAAGCACCTGCCCGGAAGCGGTTACAACTGCTAGTTATACAATTGCCTCGTAATGCCAAATCATTTGGATAGATAGATAAACGAGATAATACTAGTGAAAGTGTTAAAGAACAAATAACTTGTGTGGAAACACCTACCGTATTCAACCGCCGTATGGAGACTTTCAGATTCCCTTGCTGCTGCACGATCTTCAGCCGCTGTTTCGTGTGTCGTGGGTGTTCCTTAACATTTATCAGTGCAAGCGTAACAGTTCTAAAGGAAGTGTTAACACCTATAGTGCTCAAGATCGACTTTCTATTAACCTCTGCATTGGATTATAAATGCGTGGTTTCCTTTCTTAGCAACCGCGAGGTTGTTAAGCAGGGTACGTTTACTTCCATACAATAACACACCTACAACACAATCGTAACTGATGTTTCGACACCAACGTGTCGAATGACTCCGCAATGCAAGCCATCCATGAGCATCTTGTTGAACATGAAGGAAGAATAAAAATGCATGGCTTGTCTATCCAGCAGCTTATGGCTCTCTTAAAGAAGTGCCTAAACTGCTCGATCTTCAGATGGTCTGCGAAAAATTGCGCGCAAAGGAGAGGGTTGGCATTGGGACGGTTGAAGTCTAGCCATCGCGTTCATGTCTAGAATAGAAGCCCCCGTCATCGATTTTCGACCGCTACTCTACTGCAGATACATAGATGACTGTTTTGTCATTTTCTCTACTCAAGAGGAGATGGACAAATGCTCTGAGTTATTGAATGAGCACTCTGAGTACATCAAGTTTATTCTGAGGAAACCGAAAAAGAACTGGCTTCCATTTCTGAGCGTTCAAATGAACTTATCAAGTAGCCGTTACATGACAAAATGGTACCGAAAACCAAGTACCACAAACATCCCCGTTCATTTCATTTCTTCCCATCCTTCACACACAAAGAGGGCGCTTGTGAGAAACATGTTTCGAACACCTCCGCGTGCACGAGGAAGGAATTAAAGGAGGAATCGCGCGACTTGGCTCGGAAAAGAGCCATCTCCAATGGCTTCGAAATGGTAATATGTTCAAAGGGAGAGCGACGCCCTAAAACCAAACACTTGGCCAAAAGAAAATCCCGTTCATGTTGCCTTTTATAAGCGATTAAGTAAGCGTAGCTATAAAACACGGAGCTTAAGGACAGGTATAGAGTAATCGGTTGCGATAGTAGAAATACCACTCTATACTCTCCGTCGTTAATTAGTTGGTAACCTCCTGTATGACGGTCTCTGTGAAATAGAAAATTGCGTAATTTGTCCTTTTGGCAAGGACGGTGATTGCAAGAGTTCAGGTACGAGATATCTAATCTTTTGTAATAATTGCGGAGATGAATACATTGGCGAAACCGGTAGACGTTTATGTATCCGCATAAAAGAAAACCTAGATGGCGAACGAAAACTAAGACAAAGTACCCTACTAGGAACGCATAGGATGCAAAAGCAGAGCGGAGACGATTTTGAAGTAAAGTCAATATCCTTGCACAGGAGTCTAAAACACCAGCGCGAAAACTCCTTGAGGCTTTTTGGATCAATGCCAAAAACCCTACAATGAATAGCAGGGATGAATGCCTGGAGGTCATACGCGACCTGATCCCGTACGTTCGCATCGATTTTTGATGTGGGATGGTGCAGTCGTCAACTACATGCGACTATAATCAGCTGTTCTAAACTTCCTCATTGGAAGTCAAGAAAAAGCGGCTCTGAAGAAGAAGGCGATACTGCCGAAACGTCAGCTAGTGTTGTATTGTATTGTGTTTTTCTGTGGAAGTAAATGTATGCTGTTTAAAAACCTCGCGATTGCTGAACAAGAAAACGACGCATTCATAATCCAATGCCGAGGTTAATAGAAAGTCGATCCTAGGAACTATTGTTGCTTTATTTTGAAGGTTGTTGGGATTAAAAGTTCTCAAGGAAATGTGAAAGAAATTGTGGTTTTTAAATTCCAAATGAAATCCAGGCACTCGAATCGTCAATAACGCAGTAATAACACATTAGTCTTCGCGTTCTAGTGGACCAAATACCGCTTGTTCAGTTTCTTTCATTTTCGAAGTAAGAGCCTCGGCAAAAAAGTCCGATGAATAAGTTTGGTGGCCTCTAGAAAATTAGAATTCTTCCTAGCAGAATGAAACACCTTGTGCTGCATTGAAGAAGGTCTGTGTATTTTAACTGATTTTATATCTGCTAACGAAGTTGATTTTCAGCAGGATATGTTGGCTTGAAGTTGAAGACGAGCGCTATTTTGGAATCACGTGAGTGGGGATCAACTCAAATTAGATCTTAAATATTAGTGGATGCCCAAGCTTATTGAGAATACACTTAGACCTTCGTTGTTCCTTGATGTTCCATTCAGCAATGTTGTTGCGGCAGGAAACGAAACTCCGGACTATCGAAAGGCTGACGATTTCGGGTGCAGATAAAAACAGTTATTCATTAACAGCTCACTGTCATTCAGTTGTTAGTTTATTCCTCACAGGCCATAATAGGTAAAGAAATCTACTTTCTTGTTATAAAAATGAAGCAAGACTTAACTTTTCTAAGATGGGTAGATGAGCCAATGACCCATGAGATGATAAGTAACGTTTGAGTTATGTTGATAAACCTCGACCACCCACCGACATCATCTCTAGGTTTTACGAATAGTTTGGAAGAATTTGCCCAAGCCCTCAATACCATGGGCCGAGAACTTCCTCGTACTCCATCCAATTGCTTAATGGGCACAGAAAGGAATGTATAAGACTAGTACCATTCGAAATGGTCTTGCTTGTCTCGAACTCCTCAACAGGGTTCTTTAGTTTGGTTTCTTCAAATTGCGCACATTTGCAGGCGGTACTTTTTGGCGTATGTCCTCTAGACAGCCAACACATAAAATTATGAAGGAAAAAATTCTTAGGAACTTGTTAGTTTCTTTTACAAATGAGTTAGGTTTTTTAGAAACTTGAAAGTTCTGGGAATCAGCGCTTTCCTTCGAATATTCGTGGAGCTGTCTACTAATATACATGTTTACTAAATATTGATGTTTAGAACTGAATGAAATCTATCATTATGTGAAGAGAACTCGAAAAACTACCTTGGCAAGCATCGGACAAGTTTTGAAGCCGAGTGGACAAAACTGTAAAATCAAACATTACACTTATTTATTCATGGAAAAAATTTAGTTATAAGAATAAATGTTGAGAAACCTAAGACTTACAGGCATCTAAAAAGGTTTCTCCAACGTCGTCAGTATCGTAGCTGTTCATAATTTCAGAACTGACATCGGTACTAAGCACTTCAGATGAACTCACACAACTGCTTCGAATGGCGCTCAGTGCACTGGCCGATGTCCATGAATCCAATCTAGACAAAAAATTGGTTCTGTGCGAAATACTTTGAATCATTTATGTCGAAAAAAGCGACATGTTGCTCTTTCTTTGGCTTGATTGACTCACTGACGTGAGTGCCACATTCTTGGAAACTAATGGAAGGTACGTTTTTTGAAGGTATTTGCATATTTCTTTGCTGATATGCCAATTCTGCTCAAAATTGGACACTTTCCACGTATGAATGCGTCGTTTTCTTCTTCAGCAATCGCGACGTTTTTTAATCAGCATACATTTACTTCCATAAAAAACAGTACAATACAACGCTAGCTGACGTTTCGGCAGTATCGCCTTCTTCAGAGCCGCTTTTTCGTGACTTCCAATGAGGAAGTTTAGAATAGCTGATTATAGTCGCATGTGGTTGACGACTGCACCATCCCACATCAAAAATCGATGCGAACGTACGGGATCAGGTCGCGTATGACCTCCAGGCATTCATCCCTGCTATTCATTGTAGGGTTTTTGGCATTTATCCAAAAAGCCTCAAGGAGTTTTCGCGCTGGTGTTTTGGACTCCTGTG